TAGGTCCTCCCTTCGACGGTAAATATGTCGATCACTGTTGATGAAGCAGGCCTATCTCGGAAGCTGGGAAATCGTCCGGAGATATCATGCAACTTCGTAAATAGAATTTGACATTGGATGGTATTAATAGACAATCAACTGCAACTAACAACAGAAATAACACTATGGTTTAACTGCAGCTCTATGTCTAATATTCTAACAGCTAAGAAGAATGTACTGAGCCTAATCAGGAGTCACATAATTAAAGTTGCGCGTACATGATCGCAAGCCTGTGCTAAAGCAATAAGAACTTTGAGGCTTGACGATTAGGCCAGCGAGTGCGTTAGTAAACACTGTTGTTTACTATCTGCAATGAATTCGTCAAGAATGATTGAGTGCCAAAAGTACGTGAGAGAAAGCGTACTCGATTCTTGCCATGCGAAGATCAAGAAGACATGTCGATCGACGTCGACATTGAGTGTCATGACAATTTTGTGCACGAATTCAATTCGCAACCAAGAACAACTTCAAAATGTCTCAGATTAACAAAATATTCGAATTCCTTTGGAGTTGATCAAAAATGCTAGAGACCAGGAACTTCATCTTGATATGTCTAGATTTGGCTTGACAGAATATTGTCCATCTTTATGGAAACCCCGTTGATCCGGCATGCGTCCTGAGCTGTCTCCGAGGGCGGCTCTGGTCCCAAGGCTGGGCACCTCCACTATTGAATATCTGAGTAGTGAGTAGTGATGTTTCAGACTCGCACAGTACACAGTGAGCTATGAGAAAGTGAATATGTGGCGCACAGAGGGCTTTTCCGTTGAAACTCGGAATCTCTCCCTCATCACGAATTCCGACACTGAGGTTTCCGGCAACTGGGACTTGACACGCGCGTGTGGACTGTTGTGTCTTCCGCGCTTGTTTAAAGTGACCAATTGCTGCCGCTGCTTTTTGACCACCTACAGTCACCGTTGGCATTGCGTTTATGACGATGTATCATATGTCTCCTTATCACAACAGTGGTAGATTCAATCTGCCCGTCCGGTCCCTATGATGTATTCGTTCCTGCGGTTCCCATAGTCACTTTTACCATCATGCCAAAGCATACATCTAACACTATTCGATTTTTGGCTGAGAATACCTAGCACGAATGTTGCCACATAAGTAAAAGGAACCGCGGCAATCCAGAAGTCTCGACGATCCAATTTCAAATGTATTTCCAGCAGCTGCGTGTTTGGCAGGGTGAAGACAATCTACACCTGCATGACCGTTTCCCCTTCTCTGCTCCATGCCCGACAAAAGAGCCCGACAAGAGAATCAACAATAGACTTGATTCTCGTTTTCGATTCTATCACCTGTGGCCACGCGTTCCGAATCAAATTGATTCGTCCAGCCTACCAATTTTCACTTTTGCAACGAAACTTCTCATCGCATTGTCACCTCATCTGGTGTCATCTTACCGCCCTGACGGCTCTCATTATCCGTCTAGGCATGTGGGCGCAAGTATTGACGCCCTCAGAAAGCGGAAGTTACCGTATGCCACTCCCAGTCGATTTGGTTGGGCGCTACTTCGAGCAAGTTTAGTCAATATTCGTAGCCCTGGCTAACATCTCGAGGCGGATTCGCTGCATTCTCACGACCCTCAAGGAAGTACGCAACTCATCATGCTATTCCTCCTGAGTGATGCATCCGGATATCCGGGTCCCGCGGGTCCTCCTCCACACTTTCTTTTGGGTATTTGGGTAACTTCAGTGTTTAGATGAGTCGCCGATCTTCACTGCGGGTTATCCAAGGTGACGAATCTCTCCCACATTCCCCGGGGACATGCCTGCGCGCTTAAGTTCAATTTGCTCCATTTAGCCTGAAAACTTGGCTCTTTTTAGCGTATCATATTCTACGCGTGCAGCATGGCTTTCCTAGCAATCTTAGCAGAGTCAAATTATTCAAGGCGATGGGAAGCCTTGTTTACGTTTTGTTGTTGTCACTATGGCATCACAACATTGTGGTATGAAATCACAACATTCGGTTCCTTGTCATGTTTGTCAGCACCTTTGTAACCACCAAGCCAGTGATGCAGTAGTATGACAGACATTTTGTTGCATGACTTCTGCGGGAAACCAGCTTAGGCTTTCTCATTATTTCGAAACCGAACGGTAGAAACATCGTAGAGTCTGCCTTACCTCTAATACTGAAACTCCCGGCCAGTAAACTCCTGTCAGAATTCGTAACCTCAGTCCAAGCGCAGCGGGTACCAGCTTTCAGCTGAACTTCCGACGAACCACCAGTTTCTCAGAACCCTACAGCAATCCCTATTGTGATGACGACGCACAACGATGCAGTGAAAAAACACTCGACAAATGGATAGCTTGTTGTTGAGGGGGTTATGATGTGTACGGTGCCGATCATCCGATGTTCGAGAACAAGTCCTCCAGTCCCAGCGAGGGCTTCGTCATCTACACCGCCGCAGTCGATCACCATATAGCGGGTGAGTTAATAGTTGGTCAACGCAGAAGCGGCAGTCGGTGCCAGCCACAGCGATTCTGCTCCAATGGTGACCGAGGCAAAAGTGGTCCTCGTCTGCCCTAGAAGGCTTCGCGCTAAGGCAGTCTGCCAACAGACTTCTGGGGGGAAATTGGAAGCATAATTTTTAGAGCGCAACTTTTTCTGCTGCGGCTGGCGTTGTGGGCTCACTGACGACTGCTTCTGGCAGGTCCCCCGGTCTCAGAGTCTCTATCGGGACAATGGACCGCGAAAAATTGGGCATCGTAGAGTGTTGACCCGCGTGGACGGAGGGGCTCCCGGGCCGTGGAAAGGGGAAAAGAGCAAAAGGGCAAAAGGTTCTCCTGAAAAAGTTGTCCCCTCAAGGCACAGGGGTTTCCGGGACCTATTTTGGGATGTGGGGGTGGGGGAATAGGCGTCGGGAGCCGCAAAGCTTGGGAGGGTGCTAAGCAGGGGTCTCCCTCTACGGGAAGTCCACCACGGACCGTCTTCCTCCTGCGCCACAGGGCTGTCAAGCCAACGGCTGCAGTACCGAGATCGTGGTTCATGCATTTTCCGTCTCTTTTGTCGTGGGAATCGGATGTTGGTCGGTTGTCCGCCACACGGGATACCCATCGCTCATTCCATCCCGATGACATCTGTCAATTGACTGCCCAGATGGATATCCCGGCACGGGAACTCGCTCTCGCCCCAGTAATACTGATTCAGGAACGGGTTTGTAGCAATTCGGCTATTGATTGTCTTTTTACACTGGGATGTACAGGGCAGAAAGGGATGTTTCACGCCTTTAGCTAAGCCATTCAGACGAACTAAGGAAACACGCCCACATCCATGGGCTTGTTCCGTGAATTCCCCGGCAATGTGGACTCTCAGCATGATCCCGAACCGCCACATTATCAGATAATAGAACGCATCTTATCGATTACCCCTGGCGGATCGTGACGAAGGCCTCACGTCTACAGGGTGACATTCGGGACCGTGCCCCAGTTACCAGCAAGGTTATCCGCAGAGAGGCTGAGTGTCGAGCCTCTTCGACGTCGTCGTAAGCTTCACCACATGGTGGACTTGCAGAGTTGAACGTGGTCCATCAACGTGGATCAACAAGACATCATCTTGATGTTTGCTGTGTTCAGGAGAAGCTCATCTCCAACATAAAAGACATCCTTTTCCACCTCCAGATTCGATTTTCTTTTCTCCTCATCACACAGCACACTCAAGCATCAATCACTCAACTCAACAACCAAACACTTTCCGCTCTTCAGCACCAACCACTCTCTCACACTTCACTCACTCACTCAACAACTTTTTCAAGTTCTTCAACTTTTCCAACCCACCAACCTTCAAAATGCAGTTCACCATCGCCACCATCATTGCCTTCGCCGCTGCCGCCCAGGCCGGCCCCCTCGCTCGCCGCGACCAGTGCAACGCCGCTCCCTCCGCGGCTGCCAACGCCGACGTCGCTCCCTTCTCCCAGCCTACCGCTGCCACCGCCGACGCCTGCCAGAAGCTCTGCGAGGCTGACGCCTCTTGCCAGGCCTTCGTCTTCGGCCTCCCTGAGTCCGGCAACACTCCTCTCTGCTGGCTGTACAACGTTCCCGCCGCCCAGATCCCCACCCAGTCCAACGCCAACCTGAAGGTCTTCGACAAGGCCTGCACTGGTGTTCCCACCACCGCCCCTACCCAGGCCGACAACGGCTCCTCCAACAACGGCGCCGCCACCAACAACGGTGATGCCAACGCCAACAACGGCCAGAACCAGGACCAGCCCAAGAAGCGCAACGTCTGCGGCGCCGCCCCTACCGGCCCTGCCACCAGCGCTCCCACTCCTCTCCTGACCCGTGAGGACATCACCACCCAGGACGCCTGCCTTGCTCTCTGCAAGCAGACCTCTGGCTGCCAGGCGTAAGTCTCAGACTCTTCTCACTCCTCTCTCACAGAAATCAGACTAACAACCATCACAGTGTCGAGTTCGGCAAGCCCTCCGCCAACGAGCCCGTTGAGTGCCGCCTCTTCAACGTCCCCGCCTCCCAGCTCCCTGCCCCCACCGACGGCCAGACCTTCGTCGCCTTCGACACCGCTTGCTAAATGCATTCGCCACAACCTCGAAGCCTAGCCAGCTAGCCCAGCGACCTCTGAGTTCGCGACGATGAAGCCGACCGGGCCTGGCAGCGACTTCGCCAAACACACACATGACATCAAACCAGCTTGGGTGTTATGGGGGATGACGGATGATGTACACCACAAAAACCATTTCTTTTCTCTTTCTCTCTCTCTGTCCTCTTTGTCTTTCCTATGGTCACGGGCAACGTCTCTCTTTTTCCTTTTTTCTCTGAATCTCCTATAGAACATCGGGTCAAGAGCATAAGTGCCGTTTTGAATTGAAAATCGAAGCTGCTGTGCGCTTTCTTTAAAATATTGGTTCCAAATGCATCGGTGATTTGACAGTGACTCGTAACTTGAAAGCGCAATAAGCTTTCTATAACTTGAGAATCTTAACCGCGCAGCAATACACACTTTTTTCAGCCTTCTGATTCCGGGTCTTCAGCAACTCCCTCAAGCTCAACACCAAAATTGAGGTGTTGCTGAACCGACGCAGCCGCGACCAGAGCAGCCAGGCCTGAGTACTGAGTTCCGACATCCAGTTCACTTTCATTGAAAGGGTCAGTCCAGCGCAAAGAGATCTGTCCGTTTCTTGAACCATTCTTCCACAAGGCCTCAGCGTTTCGTTCCAAGAACTGTCGATAGATAGGATGGGGGCTTCTCTTTTGAAGCGTTGCCAGCCCATCAGTAAATATCCCTTTGAACAACCTCTGGTCCCCATCGCATGGTTTGCCAGTCGTCTCGCAAGGCTCACGGAGAATACCCCGCTCGTTGACCAAATTTCTGTTCTCTAGCACAGCCTGCGCAATCCTGTTTGCATCATCCAAACAGCACCCACCAGGCGTCGCTTTGTCAAGTTCAACAAGTGCCTGGAGAATAACCCCTTGGTTGTACGTCCAGGTTGTTCCCATGTCGTTCTTGCAACGATCATCCAGCCCATTGTTGATGATTCCTTCCGAGTTGATCATATCGCTGTTCTTGAACCAGGACCAACCCTTCTGTGACTCATTGAGATACTTGTGCTTTTCCGTGATTGTGGTTGCGCGGTTGGCTAGGTGGGCTGCGACGCTGAGATAGAGCTCGTTCTGAATGGCCCCGAGATACGGATGAGGATCGCTCCTCCTCCATGGGATTCCGCCATCACACTTCGTTCCCCAGGCATCCGTCATGTTATCAAATATTAATCTGGCCGTCTCAAGGTACTCTGGCATAAAATGTTCAGTGCCCTTGGTCATATCTGAGGCCTTGATGAACGCCAAAGCCCACCAGCCGCCGTCGTCGTAGTAGTCGTTGGTGAAGTTACCGCCACCCTTGCCCTTGTTCGTTTCGTATGTATGCGCGACAATCGCCGTGATATTCGACTTTAAGCTCTTATCAATCGTGGCGAGATTGAGGAGAGCCGTTAGACATCGAGCAGACTGCCACCAATGATTCTCATCCGGCCAAAGGCCGAGACTGGCGTTGTAGTTCCTGGTTTGCAAAACCTCGGCTGCCTGTATTGCATGCTTCAGGAAGCTAGTTTGCGCGACTGGCTGGATTTGATTCAGTCCTGAAAACGAGAGGAACCTCGCGAATAGCATCCTGTCAGCCTTAGGCGATATGTGCCATTCCGGCTTGTGGCCTTTCCTGTTGTTGATCGGGTTTGAAATAATCCAAGGTTTTCATGCTTCCTCCATCGAGTTTGCGTGTTCCCGACTTCCCCATTTCTTAGCTCAATATGATGATGAAGTTCTGACACTGCCTCTCAACGCCCGACGTAACCGCAACCAAATAGACTTTCGGCCTGCCATGATTAAGCTTTCAATAAAAAAGCCAAATCTGTAGCTTGTGTCGTCTGTCTAGAACAATTAGCTGGGGTTTTGTCGGGTAGCTTCAAACTTAATTCCATACCTAAGCAGGAATAAGGGACTGAACCTGTTGCATCTCTTCGGTAATACAACCAAGCTGCTGCCGTGCCGCATCATCATGCGAGTATCCATCACAAATGGTTCCAAGAAGACCAGATGTTCTCGGATTGCTCTAACATCACTGGAAGAATCCCAGCTTGCACATGGAGGTATCGACCAATGCTTATGCCTCCGCGCGGCGGAAACCCCATGGACAGTCGCAATCATAGAAAGCTTGAGAGGGAAGGAGTACATTGACTGTGTTAATTTCTGACGATAGTCTGACTACCACAATCTTTTATTCACAAATTACGTCAATTCGTTCTTTTTAAACCTTTCTCCTTGAACTCGAGCTCAAAGCAGCCAGTACCCCAAATGGGTGGACAAGCCGGCCGGGTAAGTGGGCGTTCAGGGAGACTTATATTTGGCCTTTCACTCTCACTGTCGTTGATGATACAGCAAAGAAATACATCCAGCTTTTGCATGTGACGGAAAAGAATGTTTCTCTTTCTGAAGTTTCAGTCTTGGTAGCTTCTTGGTCGGCGATCGATCTGTCCGCAGCACTTTCGTCGCCTCCAGTCTCCAAACCATTCCCGCATTATTCAACGTTGTATAGAAAAAAGATAATGAGAAACACTCATGCATAAGGAGTAACCCGTCCCCCGTAACTGTGAAGACGACTCAGGTTGTTGCTTGACACAACGGAGCGCTTCCGTTTGAGCTAACCTGAAGCCTACAGCACTCACAGCTAGCTACATTTTGCTTGCAGTATATCGGTGGTTTTCAGCCTTCTGGTATAATTTATACCAGCACAACGGAGTCTTTACGTCTCAGAGAAATGTCTTATAGCAGGCCTTGTGATGTGCGGCTAGTAATCTCCCATCAAGAATGTTTGCTTCACCGCATTCTAGTTATTAGGCTTTCACAAAGCGAGCAAAGAAACAACGGCTACAAGAGGAGTTGTGGACAGCATAAGGGGCCAGAATATCTTCAACGACGCATTTGTATTCTCTGTGATCTATACCCAGTAGCTGCTTATTGCATAATGAATACGTGTATGTTGCAGTTCCCAACTAAATCCAAGTTTCCTAGCTCAACAATTGGCAGCAGAGATGACCGGAGCATACACTTGTGTGACGGGATCCTCAAGAACATCATTCGCGTACCTATGTTACTCTGATGGTCATAGAGAGAAAGTTTGCTTTGCAATGTATTTATATTGCAAAAGTCAAGGAACACTGATATTAAACACACACTCTTCAGTTTCCAGCCATGCCTGTTAGATTTCTATTGCAGGCTGAGATGTTCCTTGTTTATTATAATATTTGAGACACTTACATTCTGATCTACGACTGGGAGACTCAAAATGGCAAATCTTCCCACCTCGTGATTTAACCTAGCAGCGAAGTAGTTTGATCGAGGCTTTCCCCTCGCCTTTCAGAGACCGGCACAGAGCCGTCACCACTACCTGCCGCTCAGTTGGTCTTTCCTGTCATTCTTCATCATCTGGTGTAGATTCAGCGGCAATAATCACCGAAGGGAAGAAGACGCGAGCATGTGGATGCGCGATATCATTACGTTCTTGGCTACCTAAGTATACAGTCTCAGTTTCCTCAACAATCAGCTATATTGCTGATGGCATGGCGTCTACGCTATGTTCATCCATCGACATTGCCGGTTCTTGTTATAAAAAAAAGTTAAACGACAGATCAGCCTTAAATACCCAAAGAAACGTGCAATGGTTGCATGGGAGCCAGTCACTTCACGACACCACGACGTTCCCCAAGTACTTAAGACACCACCTGCAACAACATATGGCCGGAACAACAAATGCTTTCTCCATCTTCGACTCTTCCACAGAGACTGGTAGGCAACGTGCGTTGCCTTATGAGGACCTCAAATCGTTGTGCGCTTGCAGAAACAGGATCCCAAAGCCGTATACGTCGCAGCGTCCTTGTTCTGCCTTTCCCTTTCGACGTTTTATGTGTGGTGGAATAAGAGGAGGCCGCCAGCAGAGTGATCATCGCGTTGCGGATAACCGAGCACAGATTCATCCGCAAGGCAACTACGTCCCTGTCAGGGGTAGCGACATTGCCCGAGCAGGAGAATCCAATCGCAATGCCACTCCTGATTGCTTGTGTCTGCCCCAACAAACTTCTATCTGATGTCTATCTGATGAATTTAAATAGGTAATTTGCATCAGCCTTGAGATATACCTCCGCACTCCTGCTGGACGGGGGTACGGAGACTAGCAAACTGCCAGACCCCATATTCCACATCCGCCCTCTTCAACGGATTAGACAACTCACAAGCCAGATATAAAACGCCTTTCTCACGCTGAATTTGAGAAAACCAAAGCAATGAAGCGATTGAAGTTTTCGTCTTTGACAGCGATGACATAGGTCAGCTGCACATCCATAACAGAACCTCAGCATCCGAACCAAACCCCTCCTTCCTCCACAAAGCAAGCCCCCAGCCTTCCCACCTCCGCCCGTCACCCCTGCCGTGCGGCGCTCGGAATACATATGCACCAGAACACGCCCAAGGCACCACCAAGACGCTAGCTAGACATGCTGACTGAATAAGAAGTGCTGGAGGCGCTGCATGGGCTCTTGGGGTTTGCCCTGATCCATAATCTGACGAAAGCCTTTAGACCACTGGGTTACATTGCCTGCCCGAAATGATCGGCTGTCGAAACGTCGTTTTCATACCCCTCGAAATGCTCGAAAGGTACAGACTGGATGGCGGAAAAAATAGCAAGTACGTGCTAAACGACATCTCGACTGTTTCAAACTCGAAAGGGAACAAGTCATTCTTACGATCAAGATCATCTGTATTTCTTCGTCTCAAGGTACTTTCTGACCCGAGATACTCGATACTAACTTGAAAGGTTCACGAAAACCACCATCGGCTTTGACCGAAAAGCCATGCAACACCTCTCCATAAGTTTCGTAAGCTTCCCCAGACGCAATCAGCGCCGCTTACACAGGTAGATATAACTATCTCCTAGACCGGAACGCCAATTTCTTTTTCATCCCACGTCAGAGCCATTCACATAATTCAGTTCCTCCTCTTACCATTACCATGGTATTAATAAAATCAAGCTTTTGATAACCGCCCACGTAAAAACCGGAAACAAACGACGAGCCTACTGTCCTCTTCCGAAGCGAATGTCAAAGTCCTTGAGCACGCTCATGATACTCGCAGCCTCGACTTCGATGGGCAGCCGCGACGGGGAGGGCAGAGTCTGGCCGGGCTTGGGCGCGGCACGCAACTTAGGCAGCCACGAGCCGATATCGTCCGCGGCCTTCTCAAAGTTCTTGTGGCTGGACAAGGTCTGGTAGGCCTCGGCGCAGCTCAGACTCAGGCCGAGCTTTTCCTTGGAGGGAAGACGAGGAGGCGCTGACTCGGACTTGCAGCATCCGCCTCCCGGTCCGGCACCGCCACAGCAGCCTCCGGAGCCGCCGCCCTTGCGCTCAAAATTTGCCGAGAGGGCGCGGCAGAAGAGGCCGGACTTGGGGTCAGCAAGGCACTGGGCGCAGGTTCCGGGGCCCTTGGGACCGCAGCCGCGGGAGATGGGGGCGGTGGGTTGAGTGGTCTGCGGACGAGGACGGAGCTTGACGGCACCGTCGGAGTCGATCTCCATGGGTGGAGGGACTGCGTCGTTCTCTGAGGGGGGAGGGGTGGTTTGCTGTGAGTAGGCGGGAGGAGGTCCGTAAGGGGTGGTAGCTGGGGGGCCGAGCGACATGGCATCCTCGGCGCAGACGCAGTAGCTTCCGTCCTTACAAAACCCACACGAGTCCTTGAGGGACATTGAAGGAAGTGGTTGGGGCTGGAGGATCTGAAAGGACTGCTGCGGCGGCGCAGGCGCCGCCTTCTTGGAGAACATGGCAGTAAAGTCGATCTCGGTCTCCTCAGCATGGGCCGGCTCGATGCGTGCACGCTTCTCGGAAGAAGTCACGGCCGAGGGAGAGGGTGCCCGCTTGAGATCTGACATGATGGCATTCTTGATGGTGTCCTCGAGACACTGGCAACGACCGCCAAGGGTGCAGCCTCCGCAGTCGGCGAGGGGGGCCGCGAGAACGTCATTGGCACATTGGCAGTTTCCATCAGGGCCGCATGACCCGCAGCCAAACGGGGCCGGCGAGTCTTCCATCTGGGTAGAGTCCTCAGGGGACACGATTTGAGAGATTGAAAAAGGCTGGTTCGAGTGGCCAACCGACGGAGTCGGGGGTTCGTGGTTCATGGTGACTGACGAGTCCCGGCGGATGGGTGACAGCTGGCGTCTAGCAGTCGAGGGCTGGTCTTGCATGCGTCTCTTCTGGCCTTCAAGCTCCGTCTCGGCCTTGACGCGGTCCTTCCTCTCGCGCTCCAAAAGGGTCTCCAGCAGGACGCAGCGGGACTTGAAGGACTGCAGCTCCATCTCCAGACCGTGGACCTTGTCCTTGAGCTCCTTCTCCGTCTTCTCGTAGACATCGCGCTGCTCGTCGAGCTGCTCCTCCAGCTCGCCAACCCTGGCGGCCCTGCGCTCACGGAAGGCACGCTGGGCGGCACGGTTCTGGGCCTTGCGCTTGGTGGGGGGCGTATCGGTGGCAGGCTTGCGTCCGGGCTTCGGGCGGGGTGGGATGACCCATTCCTTGGTGGTCATGGACATCTTGGGAGCAGCCTCGGCGGGCGGAGGGCTAATTACTGAGGCCATAGACATCTTGTTGATGGGCTGGGGAGGCCTGGCTGAGATGGCGGGTGGTGCGGCGTTTGGTCGGATTGCTGGCAGCTGATGCGGGTGGGAGGCATTTGACGGACCGCTGCTGCCGGGAGTGGACGCACCGGGGGTCGAGGCCGTCGGCGAAGCAGCGGTTGGAGTAGAGACGGCGGACGAGGGAGCGGAGGGCGAGTAGACGCTGCTTCGTCGGATTTCGGTGGGTGGTGAGTTTGCGTTGGCGTTGACGACGGGAGAAAAGGTAGAGGAGGAGTGGGAAGAGGCGGAGGCGGAAGTGGAAAGACCTGAGGGCGCCATCATGGAAGGGACGAACTGGACGGACGGGCAGGTGCAGGTGGCACGCTCAGCAGGGCTACCGCAGGCGGGGATCGGTACGGGCGCTCATTCGCTGGCGGGCGTGGATGGGTGGACACTGGCAGCTGGCTGTCAGGTGGTGGTGGGACCGTCAGGTGGTGCACAGTTGTAGTGGTAATTGTAGCGTGCCCGGCTTGCAGAATGTTGGTAGCGGGAGTTTAATTCCGAGGGTACGGTTCGGCGAAGTGGTGACGCTCGGCTGAAAGAGATAGGACGACGCTTTCTTGGTGTTTTTAAAATTTTGAGGGAAGATTGAAAAAGATGAGAAGAACAATCTGTTGCTGTTGTTGCGCTGCGAATCCTCGATTGTAAACGTTTATGTTCTTGGACTGAGAGTCGGCTTTCCCTCTCGGAGCGAAATCGGCGATGTTGAGCTGATTGCGTCGAGATGCAGCGATCTGAGCTGATGCCGAGCAGATTTCCAGCAGAAGACCCCTACAGAGACTGCACAGCTGATAGGCGCAGCGGGTGCGGGCGACGGGCAGGTCGAGCGAGGAGGGCTCGGAGACGTGGTGACTGAGTTGTTGTGTAAGTGAGGATTAGGAGTCTTGTTGATCGAGAGAGATAACGATCAAAGACGGCGTGTAAGACGACAGTGTCGGAGTGAGGAAACAAGGTCCCAAAAATTGGCTGTTTTTTCCGGTGCTCGGCAAGCGGGCGGTGGGAGAGGAATGTCTGGTTGGTTTGAGGGACCAGAAGCGGCACGAGGGGATTGGAGGGAGGGAGGGACAGCTGGAGGGGAGAAGGGCGGACTGGACGGGGGGGTTCGGGGGGGACGACGACATTGAAAAGGAATTTTTGATCTGATTGATAAGATTACCCTGCTCGCAAACACCCCACTCAGGGCCAGCGCTAGCACTCTTTTTTTACACTGTTTTTCTCGTCTTCAGCCACTACTGCGGTGTCCCCAGATACGTACCCCCGGCTCCCACCCAGCTCTCACCAGGTGCTCCCAGACACCCCGACACCCAAACACCACAACGCCCACAGTGTGCAGCCACTGGATACCACGGAAATCTCCAGAGCCCCCAGAATGCCGGGCATGGCTGTGATGAGGACCTGCCTGCTGCTGGGCCCCTGACCTGCGTGGTGCGTAGGTTGTTGTTGACCTTGGAGGAAGTAATCGGGTCGGGTCATGGAGACGGCGCATCGTTCGATGGCACAGGGCAGTGTCCGCCACTGTGTGTGTTGAGCCTGCGATCTCGGAACTTGTCCTCGCTGGGGCAGCACAGCCCGACTTCTCCCACGCCTGTCCTCAGGTAGTCCACACTCACCATACTATGTGCCGCAAAACACGGATCACCGCGCCCGTTGACGAACGACACTCCACCGCGGCCGTTGTCCTCAGTTTCCATGGCGTAAGATCCAACCAGAAAAGAACCCCTCACCCGTCCACCACCGCCGTCTTCCAGTGCCAAGCTTCACCACATTCCGAGAATGGGGGTCCATCGCTATGAGCACCAAAGGGTCACAGTGGCCACTGAGGCTTGATCTCAGGGTCTGCCGATGTCGCAGCATCGGGATGGGGGATGTAACTCACCAACTGAACTGTCACAGTGTCGAGGGACCATGCCGCCTTCACCGACAAATAGGAACCGCCCTTTGTCCGATGACTCGTCTCGTATGCCGAGATGTGTAAGGCGACCAACCTTATGAGCTTCTTTTGATTCAATCTTCAGACGAGACCACGACAGAAGTGGCCGTACAACCTTTGGTGAATCGTTTGCTATCTGTGAGCTTGGACAAGCCGACCGAGAGTGTCGAGTCAGACTCACCATGAGGTAAGGTAATGACAGCAAAAAGTCAAAATTGGAGGAACAATGGCAATATGATTAGCCAAGGACAAAGGCGTCACAGAGTAAAAGGGTACAGACTGTACACAAAATTATCAGATCCTCTCGACGAATTAAAACCGAGCCGGGAATTTATGCCTCAATGGAACCTCGCACCGTCGCTGCAACCGCCGTCCGTGTCACGGCTATTCGTCCAATCGCCTCGGGGCAGTTCATCAGGGACAGCAAAGATCAGTTTGATCAGGAGGTACTTGATAAGATGTCACCACCCTCCATTCCATCTCGCCCTAATCCCCATTACAGTGCCTGCTGCTGCTGCTGCTCCTGCTTCAATGATTATCCACACCACCATTAACATCCATACATGATACCACACCATTCCGCTTCAGCCGCTGCTTCCCCTTCCTTCGTTCCGCCCAGGATACGCCAACATAAGCTCACATGAGATGCCGAATTTTCCCAACCCTGGCCCATCTTGCCTATCCGATAGCTTCTGCCCTTCACTCGTGCCTGGTGAGACTCAAACGGCTCCAGCGAAAAACTTCTCCGGTGGACACAGAGACTCGAAACGCATCTCGTTCAGATCGTCACGCCCCCCAAACCCCAAGCTGCAATGCACTTGCTCCTCCCACTCGCCCCCAAAATCCAACAAACTTGCGCAATCAGATCGGCCCTTCATCCACATTCGAACTGATCCAAGTGGAGGCTACCATGTGGGAGACCGGAGAACATGACATATCGTGCCAAGGGAGAGCGCCAGTCCAAGTGCTACCTACTTCACGACCTACGGTAATTGTCGGCGCTCATCACGCCTGGGAGCCTGAGGTACGGATAGCAGAAGTATGAACGCGTTTTTCTTCCCTCCCTCCTTGCAAGGGAGACCTGACCGCCGCCGAGTCAGGGGTACGGGCAATTCGGCCTCCGTGCCGTAATCCTCACTAATAGTTTCCTCTAGGCCTTGCTAGTGGTGAGTTAGAAACGACGCCTGTGTTCGTATCCAGGTGTTTTGTGTCGTATGTTTTGGGAGATGGGCGTAGGTAGATACAGTCAGACGCAGCCATGCATCTCCGTTGCATTCTGCATACCTATCCTACTGACTGTACAGAGTAAAGATCTCTACAGATCAACCACCGCCAATAAAGGCCTCTGGAATAGTGACACGTCCTGACAACCAAAAGCCGAACCAAATGCTCCAAAGATGCGCGCTCGGCATTGCCCAATCCAACTTGCCAAAAACCCAGAGGTTGCGCAACCGTGTCCACTGACACAGCTGTGGACACCGCCAGTGGAGCTCCTTCCCTGCACAACTGCACTGTCCAGGCCCCCTAAAATTCCCACAGTGATCTCTCCATCCCCGCGTAACTCGCCCAAAGCTGGGAGATGCCCACTCCTCCGACCACACGCCAATGTGAACCGCCCAATCGACATCACGAGCTGCACAACATCACTCTGCAGCAGCCACGCAGCAGAAAGAGGGGACTCATTAACCCAACCACCACACCACACCACACCAAACCTCAGATACCCAAAACCCACGACCGTGACACACTAGTAGAACGCCGCCGGTCCCTCCCAACAATTCCCGATCTCAGCTCCCACCGTCACCCTCGTGGCGGGTCCCATCTTTTTTTTTTCTGTCTTCATCAACTGGACACTGCGACCTTAATCCAGCCTTGCTCCGAGCTAAAACTACCTTACGCCGACGACGACCGACCGAGCCGCACCACTCCAGGGCTCCTCATCGTGGGAAAAGAAGGCCAATTGGCAACTGCTTGCGCCGGGAGCACACCACACCCATCACGACGCAGAGCCCCGAACGCGGAGCACACCCCCAAAATGGACGTCCAATCCCCCCGCCAGACAGCCGCCTTCCACCTCCCCTCCTCCTCCGGCTCCTCCACCACCGATGCCGCCGCCGCCACCGGCCCCGGAACCACCGCCGCAGCCGACGACTTCGACGACGACGGCGCCCCGCTCCCCTTCCCCGCCGCCCTCCCGCGCTCCGACTTCCTCGCAAAGGACTTCCACCCGGCCAGCTACCTCTCCGCCCTGCCGCACCGCCACCAGACCCTCGACGACCTCAAGGCCGAGCTGCGCGACCGCAGCGCCGCCATCAGCGCCGAGCTGCTCGAGCTCGTCAACGCAAACTACACCGCCTTCCTCTCCCTCGGCAACGAGCTCCGCGGCGGCGACGAGCGCGTCGAGAACGTCCGCGTCGCCATGCTGGGCTTCCGCCGCGCCGTCGACGAGATCAAGGCCCGCGTGCGCGCGCGCGGCGAGGAGGTCGGCGGGCTGAGCGGGGAGCTGCGCGAGGTGCGCAGGGGGATCGAGGCGGGCAGGAAGATGCTGGAGCTGGATGAGCGGGTGGCTGCGTTGGAGGAGCGGCTGGCGCTGGCGAGCTTGCCGGGGAAGAAGGAGGACGAGGAGTGGGACGAGGATGAGAGTGAAGAGTCGGACGAGGAGGAGGAGGGCGATCATGGGTTGGTGGGGAGCAGTCCTGCCAAGCTGGCTGGGTTTGCGCAGGATTACTGCATCATTGAGGCTTTGGCAGATGCCATTGGACGAGATGTGCAGTTTGTAGTCAAGACGGAGGCGCGGATGACGAGGTGCCGGAACACGATCCTGCTCGACCTCAGCACGGCCATGAAGGAGGCGCGCAAGGCGGGAAAGAGGGGCCAGCCGAGAGTCGTCAAGTATCTGGGACTGTACGGGCTGCTTGATGCCCAGGCGGAGGCGATCAAGGCTCTCAAGAGCAACTGAGCGCACAAGGAAAAGGACTGGCAGAAAAGTAGCGATGCATATGATACCCAAAAAATCTCCGACATGTTCTGAAAGCGCTGTGCCGCTGCCACTTTGATACACGTGTAATAAACATACATATGGTACATTTCTTTTGTCATCTAAAGCCCTCCTTTTTGGTTGGGATATAATTCGTACGTATTACATGACGCCAGACAGAACCTGCGGCGTAACCTTCTCGTCCGTCGAGTCAAAGTTGCCGTTCAAGCTGAACCCCGGCCCCTGCGAAGTACTCAGCACCACCTCGTGAACGTCCTTGTGTGTGTCGAGCTGCGCAATGTCCTGCTTGATGTGGCTCACAAACGCCTTGATGTTCGACGCCAGCATCTGGGGCGTGAAGCCCAGCTGGCCGATGGCGAGGCGGATGACGCCCATGCGCTCGCGGTAGTCGTCGGCGCCCATCGTCTCGCGGATGGAGCCGGTGATGTTGTCGGTAATGGTCTTCATGCGGCGGTTGGGCATGAGGCCCTTGGGGCCGAGCAGGCGGCCGAGGTTGGCCTTGTTGAGGGCGGCCTCGCTGTCGACGTGGCAGATGAGCTTGTTGAAGGCGAGGTCGCCGTTGCGGATGGCCTCGAAGACGGTCTCCTGGCCGGCGATGACGGCGCCCGCTTGCAGGGCCTGCTGGGCGACGGCGGAGCCCTCCTCGCAGATGACGCCGACGCGGACGTCCGACTTGACGGGGTTCGGGAGGCGGATGCGGTTCTTGACGACGTTGCCGTTGCGCGGGGTCTTGAGGTGGACGTGGAGCTCGTACTTGATCGCCTGGGGCGGCTTGCCGACCTCGAAGGCGCGGAGATAGCTGTGGGTGCTATATTAGCTACAAATTTCTCGTGATGGATGAGTGACGGGAGACATACCGAACGGCGTCACACAGCGAGAACTGAGGGCAGCCCTTGATGTTGTAGGTCTTGTAGTCCTTGGGCAACTTCCTCTTCTTCTTCTCCGTCTTCTTGGGTCCTACGCTGGCGCATCGTGTCTGGGCCACGGATGGGACGAGGAACCGGGGTATCGTGGAGGCCGTCGGTCTGGCGGAGCTGGCGAGGCTCAAACGGGCCATGCCGGCCATGCATTGAGACGTTGACGCCATCGTGGGTTGGGATATGTGCGAGAGGCGAGTGCAACACCACCAAGCCAGGCCTCGAATGTCGCCTGTGAAGCTCTGGCCGAAGACTGCAGAAAAAATGCTGTGGCCTGGAGTCTCAGGCAGGGGGCTCGTTATCTTATCGATCGCCGGTATCTTATTGGCTTCGGGGGCATCTCGCTCCACATCGGTGTGTGCGGTACGTAGTTCGATGTCAATGCCGAAACACACCACTGTCACCAGAGCTTACCAGAACTGAAGAGTCATATCAAAACCTGAAATTTAATGTGAAAAGAAGTATTTAAACGAGCGATATCGGCGCTTTTCTTTCAAGTTCTTGCCATTCAAATTCGCATTCATTGTGTTGCAGTATTCTTGGGCACTGAATTAAGACGTCATATCCCTAGCCACTAATAGTACCACTCAATCTTCGGTCAGCTTCTGCTGCTCGGTCAAGCACCAATATCGGCCGAGCGCTCTCGGTGAGTGCCCGCGGCGTGGTGTTACCCCTCCATCAATTTTAACCCCACCACGAAATATCAGCCCCCCCAAACTTTTGACTCACGAGACACCAGGACCGTCCTGTCTATCCCTCACCTCGAACCCCCGATAGCCCCAATTGGATTCGACTACCGCAACCATGAAGGCCGAGGAGCTCCAGAACCTCCCCACCGCCCTGAGCGGCGACTTCAAGTCCATCGAGCCGCACCTGCGCGCCTTCGACAAGCACATGACCCTGCGCACCTTCGTCGAGGGCTACTCTCTCGGAGATGTCGAGACCAAGATCTGGCAGACGCTAAAGTCCAACAAGGCTGCTATGGGCTTCATCCGCAAAGGAACTTTGGCTAACCTTACTCGCTGGTGCGTCACTCGGCATCTTGCTCGTTATCTAACCAAGCTAAACTTGCGATCTACAGGTTCACCTTCATCGAGACCAGCTTCCCCGAGATCCAGGCCGAGACCAAGGCTGCCGATGCCGCTCGCAAGGCGAAGGTCGCCGCCGCCTCCAAGGCCGGCGCCAGCTACTCCCTCGCCCTCCAGAACGCCGAGCAGGGCGTCGTCACCCGTTTCCTGCCCGAGCCCTCAGGATACCTCCACATCGGCCACGCCAAGGCCGCTCTCCTGAGCGACTACTTCGCCCACGAGGCCTACAAGGGCCAGCTCCGCCTGCGTCTCGACGACACCAACCCCGCCAAGGAGAGCGAGGAGTTCCAGGATGCCATCATCGAGGACCTCGCCATGATGGGCATCACCCCCGACGCCGTCTCCTACACCTCCGACTACTTCGACTACCTCTACGAGACCTGCGTCCGCCTCATCAAGGAGGGCCACGCGTACGCCGACGACACCGACCAGGAGACCATGCGCAACGAGCGCGGCGAGGGTATCGAGTCCAAGTGCCGCAACCGCTCCGTCGAGGAGAACCTGCGCATCTTTGAGGAGATGAAGAACGGCACCCCCGAGGGTCTCAACAACTGCATCCGCGCAAAGATCTCCGTCGACAACGTCAACAAGGCCCTGCGCGACCCCGTCATCTACCGCTGCAACGTCGAGGACAAGCACCACCGCACCGGCAACACCTGGAAGATCTACCCCATGTACGACCTCGCCTGCCCCGTCGTCGACTCCAAGGAGGGCGTCACCCACGCCCTGCGCTCCACCGAGTACACCGACCGCAACCCCCTGTACCAATGGTTCCTCGACACCCTCAAGCTGCGCCAGGTCTACATGCACGACTTCTCCCGCATCAACCTCATCCGCACTTTCCTCTCCAAGCGCAAGCTCGCCAAGATCGTCAACCAGGGCACCGTCTGGGGCTGGGACGACCCCCGCATGCCCACCATCCGCGGCGTCCGCCGCCGCGGCATGACCATCCCCGCCCTCCGCGAGTTCATCATCAAGCAGGGCCCCTCCCGCAACGTCGTCAACATGGACTGGAACTCCTTCTGGAACATCAACAAGAAGGTCATCGACCCCATCGCGCCCCGCCACACCGCCATCCTCGAGAAGGACGCCGTCAAGGTCAAGGTCACCGGCGCCGAGGCCCCCGCCGCGCCCCGCACCGAGGACAAGCCCAAGCACCCCAAGAACCCGGACGTCGGCACCAAGAAGGTCGTCTTCTCCAACGAGCTCATCCTCGACCAGGCCGACGCCAAGAGCTTCAAGAAGGACGAGGAGATCACCCTCATGGGCTGGGGCAATGCCTTCGTCCGCGACATCGCCGCCGGCGAGCCCATCCCCGAGCTCAACCTCGAGCTCAACCTCAAGGGCGACTTCAAGACGACCGACAAGAAGGTCACCTGGCTCTCGACGCAGGGCACCAAGCTCGTCAAGGCCGAGCTGTGGGAGTTTGACTACCTCATCAAGAAGGACAAGCTCGAGGAGGACGACGTCCTGGAGGAGGCGCTCAACCCCGTCACGTCATCCATGGAGGTGGCGCTGTGCGACGCCGGTGTTGGTGAGCTGAAGAAGGACGACATCATCCAGCTGGAGAGACGGGGCTTCTTCCGCGTGGATAAGGGTCTGGACGAGGGTGACAAGGTTGTGCTGTTTGCCATTCCCACTGGCAAGTCGAAGTAAGAAAAGCAAGGTATTCTTTTGTTGGTAGACAGGGCATGAGAAGATGAATTGAAAGCATGAACCCAAGTATGTTGGCTGCCTAATCTTGGACGTGATGTTTGGCGACCACCATTGAGACTTGAGCGGACCAAATTACGCCAAGAAGGAGGCATCTTCTCATCAAAGTAGCAGCCTCGCCCAGACGCGCTGCGGCACCCGTTTATCCCTGGAGAAACATGCCTAGTGGTTTCAATTTAAAGACATCCCGCATGCCAATGGCCGCGGCGGTATTACGGTTGGTACAGCCTGATGCAGTGTAAGCCAAGCAGATCGTCGCTCAGCCTGTGGCTAGCAGGCTGCGTGACTGATAGAACATCTTGGGTACGATTCAATCATGTTACCCCTACATGTTTCTTGTACTTCATGTCTGTTCAAAAAGAAACTCGAGCACGAGGCCGAGTATGGCTAGACTTCTCATTTGTGGGTACAGAGCAAGCTGACGTACGGTACTGTTCAGCTTTGAGAGGGGTGGTTTCGCCAAAAAGGGCTGATGCATGGCATCGAGGCGCCGAGGGAAACTAAGACACGTCAGCCAATTGGTGTAACTCAAGAGTGTCTGACGCGACAGCGAAGCTGAAGTACGACATATTCGCTGTCTTCTGCCACAGCTCCATCACTTCTCAACGTACAAGGCCTCCACCGCCGTATTCATGCTCTTCCAACTGTCTTTCTCATCCACCCATTCATACCTTTTCCTCAACATGGCCCAGAACCCTCAAGGTTTTAGCAATGAGATCCCTATGGTGGCCATTCCCTCCGAGGAGTCGTGTGAATCCTCAGCAGGAGTTCCTCTATTAGCCGGAGAGCAGCGTGAAGAGGCAGAGCGCGTCCCTTCCCCAACTTCTGAAGACAGCGTGTCAACAATCGCACCCGAGACTGGTACGGCGACGAACTCAGGACAAATCGATGAGTCAACCCAAGTGGATTCATTTTGGCATAGACGACGCCTGGAAAATTATCCCGGTATCTCTCGCAACGATCCCGATGTGTGGTCCTTATTCACCAGAACTACGATTCGTTCGATAGCCAACGAACCAGAAGAACAAGATCTAGACACGCCATACTGGGGATTTCAGATTTTGTCTAAAAGCCCTGGCGTGTGGTTTTTCGAAGCGTTGGCATTGATAATTTCCTTGTCTTCCTTCGCAGGCATAGTTATCCTCTTGATCAAATACGACGGCGAATTGCAGCCCGAATTTACCGACCAGATAAGCATCAATGCCATCATTGCTGTTTTTTCCACCATTCTTAGAGCTACGCTTCTGTTCATATTGTCTGAGGGTTAGTACTTTGTCACAGTTTTTTGGCTGTACCGCCTAATAATGAATTAGTTATTGGAGAGTTGAAATGGAATTGGATGGAAAGTCCGCGGCGTTTGCGCGACATAGTGTGCTTTATAAACGCTGGCACGGGACTAGTTGGATCCTTGAAGTTTCTCTTTTTCTCATGGAAGCCGTTCGTAACCCCGTCAATCTCACGATAAGTGGTCGCTAATAGCTAACAATGCAGGATACTAACCATTGTGAGCGCCATCGTCGTCATCGCCTCCTCTGCTATTGGTCCCTTTTCCCAACAGGCTTCCGCGACGTACACTTGCGACCAAAGCGTGGAGCAGACAGCGCAAATACTAGTTACATATAACGCTTCCAGCGCCATGACTCCTGAAATGCGCGGCGCTGCAGTCAACGGCTTGATGTATGGGAGTGCCGACAACTCTCTTGCCACTTCAAGCCTGTTCAGTTGTCCAGCCAGAAACTGCAAGTTCAAATCCTCTGACGGCATCACACACACCTCTGTGGGGATCTGCAGTACCTGTATCGAACAAAACGCCGGATCCATGAAGACCGACGGAGCCGACAACGCGATCAATCAACTAAGGCTATCCTGGAATAACGGTACAGATAGCCCATTCGTATTGGACATGAAAGCTGAATTCAAGCCAATGCCAGGGTGGGACAGTCTTGGCGCGCAGTCGAAGCCGTCATTTGCTTTCGGTTCATTGCTAGGTGAGGAAATGACAATACTCATACGTGTTCTCAACAAGGGTAGTTCAATGCCATCATATCCAAGTCGTAACGAATCAAGGCCGGATGTCTTGGCTGTCGACTGTACCATTTACCCGTGTTCTCGAACTTACTATGGCGAAATCGTCAATGGCACCTTTAAGGAGAACGTAATTTCCGAAAGTCGGCTGCCCTACGTATTCAATTACGGCCCAAATGTCGAAAAGACCACGAGTGCGGATTTCGGCGGCTTCATCAAATTTACGGAGCCTTGTTGCTTTTACGGCCACTGCTACTATACTTCAAACATATCCCAGGCATTGAAGTCTTCGTATGCTCAAGACCAAAATTGGACATCTTGGGAATTTAACGACGAGGTTATTCGATTTCCAACCAAATGTACGAGCATACTTGGCGCGGACACCTACGGTAGTGTACAGGACTTTGTCAACAAGACTATTTTGGGGTCTTGCACCGTTTTCGGCCATGGCCAATATAAGAATTCAGGAACGGCACAATGCGGTGAAAAGTGGTGGATAAATTCGGTATTCAGGAAAGGAAATGCTTCATTCCAAAGCGTTGATGAGGCTTTCCATGGTATGGCCACTTCGATAACGAATCTTATGCGCAGCAATGGCTCGGACTGGGATGGCCTACCACACGCTAGGGTCACGGGATCAAGTAGTATTCCCGCAATTTGCGTTCAAGTCTACTGGGCATGGCTCCTTTATCCAGGATCCCTGCTCGTACTCACAACTGGCCTTTTCGTGTACACATTTGTCGAGAGCAAGGTAAGCGATCCTCGGCGTCCTGTATGGAAATCGAATATTCTACCTCTGATCTTTTACGGCATCAAAACGAAAACAAGTTCCTCAGATGGCCACCATACCGAAAATCATACGAAAGTCCCTCTAATGAAGCTCGCTGAGCTAGAGGTAGTGGCGGATAATACCATAGTACAGTTCCACAGCCACATCGATAGCCCGGGATTTGTAGCCGAAGAGGGCGAACATAGTTTAGGCAGTGTGCTTGCTGAGCTTAAAGAAGGTGGCATGTGGGCACTAGCAAACAAGGAGAAAGTCCGGCCACAAGCCGAGGCATCCAAGACTACGTCTTGGTTGCGTAAGCGACGACCAACAGGTGGCGGTGGCGTTGTTTAAGTCTGGTATGATGTATAACCAGAGAAGTGATGGGGATCGGTGAGGTAAATGCTCGAGTTTCGGAAAGATCGACGCATGGAAGTAAGGCAACATGTACTCACATAGAGCTTGTATCTGACTACTAAGTTGAGATCAATGATTGATGAATCTGGACCATAGGGAAATGCTGTATTTACAACAGAGGCCCACAGTCTCGCAACCTATTTGGGGAAGTCGACAGTGTTGCCACTGATGGTGCAGGAGTACCCAGCCTTTCTAATGCACCTGCCACTTTTACAGAGCCTCATGGTGTTTCCATCGGCACATTCTCCGAACTGAATACACATAGTGCCCTATAGTTGTGTCAGTCTTTTCTGGAGAACAGTGACTCAATGTACACGAAGCTTTTGTTCAAGCGGCTGAATGGGCTGCAGGTGGCTGAGACCCGGAGTAAGCGTACTGGGCAAGAAGATGCAAAACATGTACAAAAGTCTAATGATTTCTTCTCATTGTAGCTTTTCAACTAGTACTTTTGGATCCAGGCGACTTCCTCTAATGCCTCAACTCAACTCTTGCAATGCAATGACTATGCAGAATGGGACGTCTTCTTATAGGACCACTTCGCTCTACTCTCATCCTGTGTTCATCAGTGCTGACATATTAGGTAGGTTTTCATCCTATTTTTGCATACTAGTAGACGATTAGTTTGTCAACTGTCACTGCTGATACTGGTGTGAGAACAAGAACGAGAAGTATTGACGAGTTACCCTGGTTCGACCATTCGCCATGATAACTCGTCGCCAACCTGGCCAGGCTGCTCCGTGTAGTTGACTGACAATGGCTCTCCAACAGGCTGCACAAGCGGCTTGCGCCTAAATCATTTCACCTGGCTTCTCCAAAGTCTTGACGCCTGCCGTTTTTGAAGAAGCCAAGACCGCCAAGACCGCAGGTTCATATCTCCCGTCTTCCATCCCAGCCATCGGCCGAGAATCGAAACTCCTCTCGGGAAGGCCAAGATGTGGGGTATCATCACTACCATCCTATCATGTATGCAGCTGATATCGAGTCCCAAGCCCCAGGCGTGCTCGTGGTCGCTGTAATCGCAGGGCCGTTTCAACGCGTGCAATCTAATTGGGCAATACCTCTCATAACTTACGTGAAGATGCTAGTGCCCGGCTTCTGTGCAACGTAGCTTTGGGGGGTATAATTGCCCATACGGGGCACCTTGGGCCATTGCTATCTCTCGGCATTCGTTCGCTTGAACGCAGCCAAGACCACGAAATGCAACCATCGCACATTCAATGAAGTCTTCAAACTCTTGATACGTGCCAGTAGCCGTGCCGCAATTGCAGCCCGCCGCTCTGCTGTTCATGTGAGAGAAGCTAGAAAATGCCCCCGACCCCGCCATTGAACCCTCAAGGTGGTTGGCGCCTCTTACTCTTACATGTTCCTCAGCAGAGTCAGTAACACGCACAACTGACTTTTATATGACTGCAGACTCATCCCTTTCCAATAGAATTATTCATACTTCGCGATCAGACGAGAAGAAACTTGTAGCCAACGATGTCGACCGCACCAGACCTAGACATGGTTGATGCCGCGCAGGCTGACTATCCTGCCATCGAGAAAGGGGTCAATAGCGAGAAGAAACCTGGGGCGTACCAAGGCGACCTACTCCCCACGAACGATTCGCACGAGACACTGACGGGGCCTAATGGAGAGGTCTATCCCACATTGGAGGAACAGACGACCCTGCGACGCGTCCATGGCAAGGTATCATGGCTGATTTATAGCATCGGGTTCGTGGAGATGTGTGAGCGGTTCGCGTACTACGGGACCACCGCAGTGTGTGAGTCAATCAAACGATGCTCAGGGTCCTTATTATCGCTAACATGCTTGCTTCAGTCGTCAACTTCATCGCGTATCCCCTTCCCCCAAACTCGACGACTGGCGCGGGCGGTACTCATGAACAAGCTGGCGCGCTTGGCCTGGGCCAGCGGGCATCTACGGCCCTCACGCTGTTCAACTCTTTCTGGTCCTACGTAATGCCGTTAATAGGTAGGCTCAGGGATTCTACTCTCTCACTCCCTGCAAATGTGACTGACGTCCAATAGGTGGCTACCTCGCCGATACCTACTGGGGCCGCTACCTCACCATCCAATATGCAATTGTCGTCGCGACCTTTGGCCACATTCTGATCATCATCGCCGCTATCCCCTCGGTAATCTCCAACCCAAGCGGTGCGCTCGGAGCCTTCATCATCGGGCTGGTCTTCTTCGGGACCGGCGTGGGGTGGTTCAAGGCCAACATCAGCCCGTTGATTGCAGAGCAGTACGAGCTCACTCAGCCCCGCCAAACCGTGAAGACCCTCCCTTCAGGAGAACGTGTCATCGTTGATCCTGTGATGACCATCTCCCGCGTCTACATGCGCTACTATTTCCTCATCAACGTTGGCGCTCTCGTTGGCCAGGTGTCCATGGTTTACGCGGAAAAGTACGTCGGCTTCTGGCTGTCATATCTCCTCCCCACAACCATGTTCCTCTGCTGCCCCGTCGTCATGGTTCTTTGCCGTAAGCAATACGCCAAGCGCCCACCCACCGGCTCAGTCCTTGGAAAGTCGATCGCACTTGTAGGCTACGGCATCAAGCAAGGCCACGGCGGCGTCTTCGCAATGCGCAAGGACTCCTTCTGGGAACGCATCAAGCCCAGCGCCGTGCCCAACCGCCCGTCCTGGATGACCTTCGACGACGCCTGGGTCGACGAGGTCCGCCGCGGCGTCATGGCCTGCGCCGTCTTCCTCTGGTTCCCCGTCTTCTGGCTCGCGTACGGCCAGATCTCCAACAACCTCATAAACCAAGCGGCGACAATGCGCCTCGACGGGCTGCCCAACGACATCATCACGAACCTCAACCCCTTCGCGCTGCTCATCTTCATCCCCATCTGCGACAAGCTCATCTACCCGGCCATCGAGCGCGCGGGGCTGCGCTTCACGCCGATCAAGAAGATCACCGTCGGCTTCCTCTGCGCGACGCTGTCGATGGTCGTCGCGGCCGTGATCCAGCACTTCATCTACGCGCGCGCGCCGTGCGGCCGCAGCGCCGGCGACGTGGAGTGCATCCGCGAGCGGGGCCCGCCGGACATGACGGTGTGGATCCAGACGCCGTGCTACATCCTGATTGCGCTCAGCGAGATCTTTGCGTCGATCACGGGGCTGGAGTATGCGTTTACGAAGGCGCCGCGGAACATGCGCGGGCTGGTGACGGGTGTGTTTTGGTTTGTGCACGCGTTTTCGAGCGCGATTGCGCAGGCTTTTGTTGGGCTGGCTGCTGATCCGCTGCTGGTCTGGTTGTATACCACCATTGCTATCATCAGCTGTTTGGGAGGAATCGGGTTCTGGTTGACGTTCCGGAAGCTTGATAAGGAGGAGGATGCCCTCAATGCGCTGCCGGAGAGTACTTACAAGGGACGCGGGGAGTCTAGCGTCGAAGAGAAGTCGGTGTAGGCGCGGGGGAAGTCAGCGGACTTTGATTTCTCGGGAAGAAAGCATGAACAGATGGACTCTCGAAAGCCTCTTGATCTCCCGAGTTACTACTTAGCACTTGAGCATGTTATGTCATGTGCTTGAGTATTTTACTTGAATAACAATTATCAACTCCAGCTCACAGGAAAACAGCTCCACAAGTTGTGAAACTTCCCAGGCCACCCGTCCGGTGCAGATTCGGGGCATCCGGAACACGCTCGGTCTCGGTCTCCGACATGAGACCAGCCAGACAGCCCAGGGTCCAAAAGCTTTCGGATGAAAGAGCCTTCAAAAGGTTCATCTCATCTGTCACAATTGAGTTCATCTCAGAGCTTAGCCGGGAATTCAAATCTGATATCATCTTCAAAGGAAACAAAATAAGAAAAGGGCAGACTTGCGTGGTGTGTTGAGGCGCAGGCAGCTGACCACAATGTCTCACAAGCCGGCAGACGGAGACACGAGGGGAGCGGAATCTCAGGGGTCTCGGCTCGCTGCAAGTGATGCTGCGGCGCTAATTGCGGACAGCTCCTGCAGAACCCCAAACCCCATAGGGAACCGCGTCAGGCGGCACGTGCGCCGTGTTGTCACGAGCTGAAATGAGCTGAGCTGAGCTTAAGGTAGCTCTTGGGTACCTTGCCCAGTGAGTGAATGACCGGATCATCTCGCGAACGAAGCACCAAGCTTCAACACTCACGACTCCATCTCACCCAAGAAGTGTGAGCTCATCTGAAAACTCCAGAGCTCAGAAATCACCACCAAAATGGCATCCTGGCCCCCGACGCGCTGGCCGGTGCCGATTCACGTCTTCTCCTACCGCGTCCTGCTCGTCGTCCCCGTCCTCCTCGCCATCGCGACCTTTGCCGCGCTCTTCATCCACTCCGACGTCAACATCGCCCTGCTCTACTCGCAATGCGACTCCCGCGCGCGCCTCCCCGGTATCAGCAAGGTTCCCGTCTTCGGCACCCCGGTCTGCTTCGCCATCAGCTTCTTCCAGAACGCGCTTGACTCGGCCCGCACCTTCGCCAGCATGTCCGCCGTCCTCTCCTTCATCGCCGGCCTCATGACCGTCACCACCGTCGAGGCCGCCCGCATCTGCAACGCCCCCAACGTCCTCATCGCGAACCCCACAGGGCCCTGGCTCGTCTTCAACCTCATCGGCGGCGCCGTCGTCTGGGAGCTCGTCATGGTCCCCGCCTTCTTCCACCGCTCGCGCTCCATCTACCTCGCGCGTAAGAAGGCCGGCAAGCAGGTCGTCGAGAGCGCCGAGTCCAAGGACCCGGACTTCGGCAAGCACGCGCGCCACCTCAACGTCGACGCCGAGATCGTCGCCATCCCCGTCAGCGTCGCCTGGGGCTTTGTCCTGCCCTCCATCCTGATGCTCATCTACAACTCGCCCGCCACCATCGCCGTCTGGCTCTTCTTCCCCGTGTGGGTCTCGCTCGTCCGGCAGGCTGTCCGCTGGGGCGTGCTGCGTCTGCAGAAGCGCCAGCGCCGCAGCTTTCACCTCGAGTCGCACACCGTCTCGCTGCTGCTCGTCTACCTCGTGCCCATGGTCTGCTCCGTCGTCTCGCACGTCTTCCTCATCTGGAGCCTGTTCCAGCGGGATGACCGAAAGGAGATGACGCGCGCGACTGTTAAGTTCATCGAGATCGACGTCACGTTCATCGGGTTTACGGTGCTGTACTGGCTGCTCGTCGAGGGTGGGTGGAAGGTTGCGTTGGTGGCTGTTGCCGCGGCTGTTCCCCTCGGGCCTGGCGCCGGAATCTGTGTTGCGTGGATTTACCGTGACAGTGAGATTCGCGAGCATCTAAAGAACTGGTTAACTGGAGAGCACGATAATGAGGAGAGCAGCGGGGAGGCCAGGACTGGCACTGACGAGGAGACACCGTTGTTGCGATAGAGTGCTCGCTGTTGTGCTCGAGCGCTACGTCTTCACTATCACAGAATGAATCATTCCATGAGTTAACACAAACAACTCAGAACTTCCCTTGAAGTGAGATCCGAATGCCTCCATTTTCTTATAAAACCATGTAGTTCACCTGCGACTTTGCACGGACCCTTCCTATCACACCATCATGTCACGTTCGCCAATTTCGCCAATTTCGCCGTTGCCCCATTGCTGAAGTCTTCGTAGAACTTGGATGATTCATGCTGCTGGAGCACAGACTTCACCTATGACACAGACTCTCTCCAGGGAGATTGCTTAGTACGAATGGTTGACAACTTCTCCAGTGCAGCTATGGAAGTGAATATGGCATTGAAGGCTTCTCATTAAACCGGACCTGCGAAGAGCCTTGTTAACGACTTCGACTTCCGAAAACTAGCCCATGGTTCAGTGTGGGGCGTAGTAATCGGCGCACCCCTCCCACTAGCCGGCGCACCCTATCTGTGGCTTGATTTTGCCTAGACTCTAATACTAGCCCTCTACCCTACCCACTACTAAATTTTCAGTATTATCGTCTACTACCTATTAATCCTACTACTACTAACCGCTTTTTAAAGCTATTATAATATCTTTATAAGAAGAGATTAAGTTTAAGAAAGAGGGCTTTATAGAAGCTATTAGTAGTAGTAGTAGTAGTAGTAGTACTACTACTAACTTTATTATTCTTAATAACTCCTCTACTAAGAGTAATATTAATAATATACCTACTTTTATTAATATTAATTTAAAGTTTACTTATAGCTATACTATTAACTATAATAACTACCTTCTTACCTCTTAGTAGTACTTTATACTAAATAAAAGATTCCTTTAAAAAGCTACTATAGAAGAAGCTTTATTTACTATTTACCTTACTACTAGCTTCTAAGTATATATTACTTATTATAATAACCTTAAGATCTTCTACTAATATACTTATACGCTTCACTATAATAAGGTTAAAGTATAATAAGCATAAGAGTATATCTATATATTAAAGTAGCAGAAAGGTTCCTCTTATATAACTACTTATTTATAATAAGTTATTATTTAATATAATTAATACTTTAATAACTACTTTATATATAAAATACTATATAAAAGCTATAACTATTATAACTATAAGTTTTTTAGTATTATATACTATACTTATATATACTAACCTCTCCTCTAAGAAAAATCTATTTAAATTATTAATCTTTAGAACTATAGTAATTAACTTATCTAAATACTTAATATTATATACTCTAAAAGCCCTAATTTTACTTTTATTACTTACTAAGACTTTATTAACTTACTTATATATTACTACTACTAAGAGCTTACTAAGTGTATACTAATTAAGTAGCTTTTTAATTAACTATAAGATATTAATAAGTATTAGTTTAAGTTTAAGAAGGATAAAGAGGGCTATATTACTACCCTCTTTATAGCCCTTTATATAGTAGTTAGCTACTTTAAGTGCTACCTAAACATTTTATTAATAGATTTAACTTATAAGACTAACTACTTTAATATACTACTTTTTAATATATATAGTACTACTAATAATAGTAAAGTTTTCTAAGTTACCTCTTATTTTTTATTTAATAAGAAGGAGTATAACTATAAGTAGGTAGTAAGTGCTCTTACTAGCTTATTTAATAAGTTTAATATTAAATACCTATATATTACTTATATAAATTATAAACTTACTTTTATTAAAGTACTTAACGCTAGTCTTATTTTCTATAATATATTATATCTTCTCTACTACTAGTATATTAATATAAACGTTCTCACTAAAACTAGGTACTACTTCCCTCTTATTATAAAGAATAATAATAATAGTATTACTTAGCACCTTTAATTTTAGTAGTTTATTAATAACTAGAACTAGCTTTTATATACTAACACTATTAATATATATAACTAATAAAAAGTAATATTTAAGAATAATAACTACTCTAACGCTATAGTTAACTATATTCTCTCTACTTAGGTTATACCTTAGTATAAGAAGCTTATAGTATACTAAACTAATTAGATTACTTATTTTAACTATATTACTATATTAATTATTAAGTTATCTTATACTACTCTTAAGCTATATATCTATTACTATACTAATAACCTTAAGAATATATTTTAGAAATTTATGCTTTTCTAGTAAGTATAAGATTAAGAGATTAATAACTATATACTTACCTAAAAAGGTAAAGTACTTAATAACTTATATAATAACTTATTTAATAGGATTTAGTACTATCTCTATTATAAGGTATTTTAATACTTATATAATAAGCTAGCTAAGATATTAGCTAAAAGCTAAAATAACTTATAGCTTAAGCCTAAAGGTAACTATAAGCCTTACTTAATTAATAAGACTTTTAAACTACTTTACTACTATATCCTCTAGCTTTATAAAGTAGAGGGCTATAAAGTCCTACTTAAGAAGATTTACTTATACTAATTTTAGCTATAAAACCTTTATAAAGCTACTAGTAAACTTATCCTATTTAATCTCCTTAAAGTTAGAGCTAAAAGTTAGCATTATATTATTAAGAAGGTTATTAATATACTAACTAATATATCTATTAAGTATAATATTAGCTACTTTAAATTTAAAGCTACTATTAAGATAGTAAAAGCTTTACTTATATTGCTATTAATTATGCTACTTACCCTTAGTAAGGCTATAGCTACTTAAGAAAGCCTTAAAGCTATTAAATATAATAATATATATAAATTTAGTACTTAGTACTACTACTATTTAGGCTATATTATTACTATACTTAAGTATAACTTTATTAAGCCTATTAGTATTAAAATAATTAATCTAATTATTAATATACTACTAAGCTTATTATAATACCTACCTATACTAACTAAACCTATTTTATAAATTAAAAGTAAATTTATATAGTTAGATATATAATAAGATATATATAACTTACTACTATTTAAGTTTAATATTAATATTAACTTTAAATTTAAAAATAAGTTAGATTAACTTATTAATAAAGTAGAAGCTACTTAAGCCTAAGAGTAAGAAAAGGAAGCTAAACTATAAGTAATTAAGTAATATTAAGGCTAGCTAAGCTATTAATTTAAATATTATACTTATTTATAGCTATTAGATTATATAATATAATAGCTTTTTAATTAAAATCAAAAAAACTAACTATAAAGCCTTAAATTATTTAAATCTAAGGAGTTTTTAAACTATTTAATAACTTAGTGAAACCCTAGCTAATCCTCTAGCTGATCTAGGCTAATTAGAAGCCTCTATTTTAACCGCTTAAGTCAGCGTTTCGCTAGTTTTGCTGGTTATTAGAGGCACGCGCCTTATACGCTACAGATGGGGTGCGCTGGCTAGTGGGAGGGGTGCGCTAATTACTGTAGCCCTTCAGTGCTCGTGGCTCGCAGCCCATACTTCAAAGAGGCCCTCGAGCAACTTTCTAGATCAGGACGTATTAATGCAGGAAGTGGACGCAATCACATCTTGGAGAGCTTTCGGACTTTATATCCATTCCGTGAGACGCCCTACCGGAAAAGGATTCATCATGACTCGCAATACCCTCGACACTACCCTGGCGTTGATGCGAGGGTGCCGCCCTTGGCTCGGAAAACTCCGATATCGCCCAGCGCACCGCGGCCATGCGAGGAAGACGAAGCATTCGGATACCACCACACCTATTTATAGGAGCTATGGGCTTATCCGTGGTTATACGTGGGTGAAATTCTCGGGTACGTATGTCCGGATAAGGAATGTCTAACGCGAGACCGAGCTGGAGCCCTGGTCGAGGAGTAACCCGCTTGCCGGCGACGGTCCGTTCCAGACGAGGGTCAAGATGCGGAGCTCCGCCAGGCCGGTGGGAGAGCAAAGAATTACTGAATAGTATTTATAACGAGTGTGTCAGAAGAAGAAGGAGAAGAGTCATGCTTCGTCGTGGCAAGTCCGTAACGTGGACAAATAAATTAATATGCCTTCAGATCCTAGTGCTGAATGTGCTGAATTCGCGCGAGATACCTCGATCGGAATATGTGCTTCTCCGTGGCTTACTCGCACAGATATGTAGCTCTTTTGGACTCATTCAGGGGGCGTACGGTATAAGAAATGGGTTGAATCTCCTGTATCCCTTGCCAGACCCTAACATCTTCGGACATCAGTAATCACAAACATCACAGTCTTTACCTATCCATCATGACTCCTTCAGTACAAGCGGCAACGCTATTCGTTCTCTCAATCTTGAATGTTGGGCATGTCTTCGCAGTCCCAGGCATTCCCGGCATGGGTCATTCCGCACGCATTCATGAACGCGCCTTGACGAGCTGGGTTATGAAAGGATACGGAACCGAGTCGTCGTGCACTCAGGAACAAATCGACCAAATCGAGCCTGCAGTAGAGTACGCCAAAATTCTAGCCAAGGCTGCCATGACGGCCTTGGAGGATGTGGGGACGTCGGGGGTGGCGTACCGGCGCTGGTTCGGTGGTAAGTCGTCGCATAACCTTTTTCCTTATTTCGTCTCATTCGGAGGTTATTTTCCTACCTAAGATCTCGCCAATCCGCTCCAACTGGAATGGAACTAATTCTATACGTAATTTAGACAACAACACGAATGAAAACACCCTCGCATCCATCAAGGCAAACAACTACGAAGCCGTGATTTCGGGACTGCGCGCACCCGAATCAGGCACAGTCAAGTCTGAAGACGAAGGCGGCCCGGACAAATCAAGACTGGTGTTTTCTTGCCCCAATTCGGAGCATCCCGTGTGCGAACCGAACCCGTATGCAGGGACAGAGCCGGTCGCAGGCATGCTCAACGCCGGCGAGGTTTACGACAACAACGTGCTGCGTCTCTGCCCCCCCTTTTTCCGCCAGGTCAGCCACTCGCAGATGCTTGTCAACTGGCGGGATTGGAAAGAAGGCGACCTGCAAACATCAGCGGGCTTCGCACTGCTTCATGAGATGCAGCATCTTGATGCTATAGTCGGCAAACCCAATCGTTGCGCTGATCACGCGTATACAGTTGCAGAGTAAGTTACTCTCTTGGGGGAATTGTTCGGGAGCACAATAATAATGCCAGAGCCATGCTAACCATCAGACAACGTAGCTGTGAGAAGCTCTCTAGCGTCGAAAGACTGAAGAATGCCCAGACCTTTGCATACTTCGCGCTGGATGTGCTTGTGAACCCGCCAACCAAGACGAAGTGACAGTATAGAAATCAAGGACGTTTCTTCGACTCGAGCCGATGACGTGCGTGAGCGGCTTCATCAGGTCTTACATCCTGGTCGCCAGCGCCAGCGCTCCGTTGCAATCGCCAAGGATGGTCGCCATCGCGCCGCCGTGGCAGAAGTCCTCGCGGAACATCGTCAGTCCGTGGCCCAAGGTAAGCAGGAATGAGACTCTGGTGGTGAAGCGCGAATCCAGGGACTGCTTGTCAAGGTTTCCGTTGAGCGCGTCGTAGGCGGTGTCTGCCGCGTCAGCTTGTGCACTGGGCGGGTGCATGAAAGCGATGAAGTGGGAAATGTCGCCGCCGAGTCCAAGATGACGGCGAAGAATTCAAAGGCGTGTCCTTTGTCGGCGTAGGCTCGGCTGATGAGGGCTCTGACGATGAGGGCTGGGGCAGACAGGACTTTGGCGCACCAAGGGATGGGGTTGAAGTGCGCTAGCTGGTTGTCCCATGAGTCCATCTTGGGCCAGAATGGAAGCGATAATTGTGTTGTTGATCCGGCGAGTGAGGTAGATCTCACAGTGAGGCCAAATTTGTCGAAATGGGGGCATTATTGATGTCGCTCTCTAACTCTATATACCATCTAATACAGACCAAGCCGATCAAGCATCGACATTAACACCTAGTCCCTGGACGTCCTTCCTCGTCGAGATGTAAAACTGACTGTCCTTCCCGACAGCCTCCTCCTCAAGCTGCAGCCCCTTCAACGCCAGATCGCGCGTTTGCGCTGCATCCCCAAGCTTGGACGCCATGCGCGCAGCGGCAATGTGCATCGTCGCAGCCTCCCGGCCCCGAATGCCCTCCATATCATACGCCTTCACCAACGCCAGCATCAACTCAAACTCAGCCCTCGGGTCCTCCGACGCAGCCTCCGCAAACTGCTGTAACTTGGCCGCAATCTCCGCGCGCCTCGCCTCCCCAGCCTCCGACGTCTTGGGATCGCACGCCGAGCAATCACAGAGGAATCCGTAGCCATCCTGGAGGTGGTCCTGCCTCGCCTGCCGCAGCCCGAGGTGCTCATCCAGATAAGAAATGGTGATCTCCTCCTCTGGCTTAATGTCCCGCGTCGCATGGACCGTGAAGGCGTCCAGCTTCTTGTTGAAATTGCCCTGCGCGTTCGGCACGCACGAGTGGTTGAGCCGCGCAACCTGCGGGAAGAGCGCCTGCGTCTCGTCGCCGATGTTGAAGTTGTTGTTGCGGAAGATGTTGAGAATCGTGTGGTTGAGCACCGTCCGCCCGGGGCTGGTCTTGCTCTGCCACAGCGACTCCGCCCAGCTCAGCACGCCGGCCTTGCCGGGGTTGAGCGACAGCGACAGCAGCGACTTCTGACCGGCCGTCGGGAGCGCATGCGCCTGCCGGAGGATGTTGGCGCTGGTCTCGGAGGGGAGGAGGGTGAGCAGGGCCCGGTCTGCGAGGACCCGCTGGCCCCGGGGGATGGGCTTTGCGGCGAAGACGCCGAGGCCTTTGCCGGCGGCCTGCCGGACGGTGAACATTGGGGAATCGGGGCGGTCTTTTTTTGCGACGGCTGCGGGAGAGAAGGGGGCGGCGGACGGGGAGGAAATATTTTTGTCGTCTGCCTTCCTGCCGGAAACGGAAAGGTCAAAGGGGGCAGACGGCAGCTGGCTGAAAAAGGCAAGGGGGCACCCAACTCGCCGCCTCCGGGGCGAAATTAGCGTCTCGGAACGGAATGCAAGGGTCCTCGCCTTATCGTGTGTTGTTTCGTGTTCCGACGACTCAATTATTTGCGCGATAAAGAACTTTGCCTTTGGTCTTCAGACTCAATCAACTGTGTTGTGAGGAGCTTCTGCAACTCGTCAGTTCCACATTTCAACACAGAAAATTGGAACTCTTCGCTCTGAACATTGCTCAACTCAATTGGCAACGATCGTCATCCACTCTTCAACTTAAATGCAACTTGAGCTACGAGCCCCTGCCAATATTCTACTTTTTCTAATCCGCCCTGTGCACTGCAGTGCTGATCATTCGCTCCCTCTACTGAAGTTTCCACACAGGGCGCCCAGCAATCGGACAGGTTTTTTCTTATCCGGGAACACCACATTGACAGCCATAGTCTAAACGCCCAGAAACAGGGCTATAAGCAATTTCGGGATCTGCATTTGGGTGCAGCGGCCGAGGTCCTGTTATCCATCATTTGATCATCTTCTCGAAGGCGGCTACAAGTTCCTGCCACGTTGTCAGCGTTGCCGTCATTCGACACTAACATCATGAACTCACATCAAAATTACAATCGCTCATTCTCTCAAAGACAGCTTCGTTCTTCCATAATTGCATGCTGCTGATGCGCGGCGTCTTGATGCCAAAGGCCACGCACGCCATGAATCGGGGATCATCCTTCGCCGTGCTGTTGGCCAAGGCCTGCTTGGTAGCGGAGGGCGTCTTGCTCGACTTCGCCTTCCGCGCTTCATCGCTGCAGAGGGCTTTGCAGACGCTTGCAATGCTCTTCATGAGATCCTTGTCGAGCGGCTTCGGCTTGAACTCGGGCAAGACCACCTGCTTGTGCGTCTCGCACCAAGTGCAGTGCCCGCACTCCTCGACCGACGCGTGAGTGGTATCGGCAAAGTAGGCCGCCAGGGCGCGCGTGATGCACTTTGTGCCTGTCAACAGGTTGACGAGGTCCTGGACCCGCTGCAGATCTTGCTTTTCCTTCTTGGTGATTTCCTGGTCGATGTTATCAATCATTGCGTCGATCTCCAGCTGGCTCTTGGGCAGCGCCTTCTTGAGTCGGAAAACGTTCTGGACGCCAGACTTTTGGAGCTTGACGACTCCAGATTCGGCCCAATGGTCCAACCTTCTTGTGATGTCGCCTCGGTTCAGGTGCTTGCCATCCGCAACATCATCGATCTCGATGAATGTCCATATTTTCGCCGTTCGAGATCCCCGGCGTATCGCTTTTGCTGCTGGTGTATCGTCGTCGTTGTACTCTTGTCGCTGCAGCACCTGATACTTGTATTCGGAGTATTGCGGTGTTCCTGCTCGAAGTAGGCCGAACTTCAGCTCCAAGTAGGCGTAAATGATGGACAGTTGCGTCTCCTGCTAGCCATTAGTGACTGTTGTCTAGTCGATTGGATGACTGCCCAAACCTTGATATCAACTCGTTTGGACTGCATGGTGATCCCCACGGAAAACGTCTCGCCAGGAGAAAGCCGACAGCGCTCTTCATCGCAAATCTCCTCGAATAACGCGCGGAGAGCCAGTCTCGAAGGGCGTTCTCCATGCACGAGCACGTTCCTGAGGAAGAAGTCTTTGTCTGACAGATACAGCATGCATGTACTTGGTTTGCCGTCTCGGCCGGCTCTTCCAATCTGCTGGCTGTACGCTTCGATGCTGCTGGGAAGGTCAAAGTGGATGATAGTCCGGACGTTCTCCTTGTCGATTCCCATGCCGAAGGCAATCGTGCCAACAATCTGCGAGGAAACTGGGTTAGAAAATTGATCTGGGACATGCTTCCTTCAATTCCATAACTCACAATCATGTCGGTACTGCGTAGAAATTTGTCTTGGATGTCGGATCGCACGTCCTTGTCCAGCCCTGCGTGATACGGCTTGGCCTTGAAGCCTTTGGCAACCAGCGACTTGGAAAGGCTTTCTGTGCCCTTGTGTACCCATTTGATCAGCTCAGTCCTTTTCGCGAACTCGGCAAACCTACTGCGTGTGTTGTAACATAGATGATGGACGGCCCCGGGTGTTTCTTTAAAAAGCTGGTGCAAATCTTCACCTGGTCATCCTTCTCGTTGATAGCTTGAACACGAAGATTGAGGCTAGACGTGTCAGATTTGGTTCTCTGCGATAAAACTAGATGGGCACTAACTTTGAACGATACATGCTTGTGACGAAGAGGCCTTCTGGGGGGATGTTGAACGTGTCACGGATATCCTTCGCAACAGCCGCCGTGGCGGTCGCAGTAAGGCAGACGACCCGTTCGACATTGGCTTCCTTGGCAAACCGAGCAACTGCAGCCTTTGGTTAGAAATGGGTGCCCAGGTTGCAGATCTGGGCGGAACTCACTTTTGAGGTAGTCTGGTCGGAAAGAATGTCCCCACTGCAGGTACTCTTTAGCGCGAGCGGTAGAAAGATGAACACAGGATTGATGACCGTACCTCTGAAATACAATGAGCCTCATCAATGGCGAGTAGCCGTATGCCGCCGCGGATGGCTTGGAGAGAGGCAAGGAAGCCCTCGTTGTTCAGACGCTCCGGCGCACAATACAACAGGTCGAGCTTGCCGCACGAGAGCTTTTGGTGAATGTCGACGAAGGTTTCACGAGTCTGAGTCGAATCAAGGACTGCAGCACTGATACCTCTTCGTCGGAGGGCATCAACCTGGTCTTTCATCAATGCGATCAGAGGAGAGATGACCACAGTAACTCCACTCTCCTCGGGTCTTCTGGAATTTGTCTGACGGTCAAGCTCTTTGATAGCGACAGCTGGGACCTGGTGATTGTCAGCAACCATGAACATATGCTACTGGCCGTGGAGGTGCGTACCTGATAGCACAAACTCTTGCCTCCGCCGGTGGGAAAGACCACTACAGCACTTTCGCCGCCAATAATTCGACTAATCGCTGCTTCTTGCTCTAGTCGAAAAGCGTTCAAACCGAATCTCTCCTTCAGTACTTTCTGGGCAAGCTCTGATGTCTGTGATCCAGATCGGTGCTTCTTGGAGGCAGGCTCTTCGATGGCATCATCTCCATCGTCTGGAGCCCGCTTAGCGTTGGGAGGGACGCCGTCGGCAACGGCGAGGAGGTCTGCCTCATCTGCAGAATCAAAACCGAAGTCGTCGTCCATTGCTGCGTAGACCTAGATCGCTGAGATATAATCGAGGTACGAACTGATCCAGGTAGGGTCGTGTTAGATCGTCCAGTTGGCGTCGGTGGGTTCGAGAACGGTCGTTGGTGTGCCAATTCGGGAAGGAGGGACCGGAGAGATTGGCCGCAGTGACGCGCTGAAGCTGCAGGCGCGGAC